ATGTTTGTAGATTTTATGTGAATAGCAAGTGTTTAAGCTATATTTCATGCAAAATTACTTCGAGATTTAATCAAATAGCACCGATTTTTTACAAATTTTCAGAGGCGAATGCCCTCAGACCCCCGTAGCATTAGCATACTTTGCATGCTGATTGTTGATCTCACAAATTAGAAAACCCTTTCAAACATTCTGCGTACGGACCTATATCCCTACATCAGATATACTTATCATAATTTACAATTATTATATAGCCATAAAAGATGCTCAAATACGTCTGTAGTTAATTTTCTATTTGTCTTAGGAATCCTGAAATATCTTTATATTTTTTGTTTGTTTGTTTTTAGAACAAAGTCACATAGAACAATCTGCTTTGTTCACCGAGAGGATTCGAACTCCATATTTTAGCGTTGTAAGTCCGTAGAATTACTGCTGTTCCACCATCTTTATAATAGGGAAGTTTCTATATTTCTGGACAGCTAACAGTTTTATAAATTATGTACAAAAAATACTCAAGCTTTAATAATATTTTAAATTAATACACAGACACGTTGTCTTTCATTATTTAGAGCTTTGGTCTTTATTGCTCATGGATTCGCAGAACACTGTATGCGGTATGACGACTTTGCTAAAGCTCTAGTAACACGTGGAGTTTTAACATTCGCCCATGATTTTGGTAAGATCACTCTGTTGTCATTTTTTTACCTTTTCTGAATGTACCCCTCTTCAGGATAATATTGTACGAAAACAGTGGAGGATATTCTAGTTAAGAGACTTGGAATGCGCACTTTGAAAGCAAAGAGTGTTTAATAAATGCTGTGCCAGACTTTGAGCGCTTTCATTATATTTAATTACAGAAAATAAGATGTAGTTCTTTGGCAAGACTATAAGTAATGTGAATCGATATGACATTCGTTACAAATGGTAAATGAAGTGATAATACCTTGCTGTTCTTACTGTGATTTGAACACAATCTCAAGAGTATTTCATTGTTTATTGTTCATAATATGTTTTCTTATACCCTACCCCATTTTTGTTTCTTTATAAGATTATTATTTTAAGCCTGATGAAAAACCGGTCAACAAATGTTTCCTCTTTCTTAAATATCAACATTTGTTTGTCAGTCACAGGCTTCCGTTTTACCTGTAACTGGTGGCAATAATCACCGAATGTGTTCTAATTTTTCTATGATAGTCGCGCATGGCAATAGAAAGACTTCTGTCATAAAACACTTCTGAACACCAGAAATCTTTCTGTGTACATAGTTTTTCATTAATTATTTTTCAGTGATAAGTTATTTTATGCGAAATAATTGAGCGTTAGGTTAAGATTTAGCAACTAAGCAAACGGGTTAAACTTTCGTCTGAGAATGGGAGAAACTTAAATGGTTCATGGCATTTTATTCTAACATGTTTTCGAAGATGATAAAAATTTATATATGTTGCCCTAGACACAGTTTGTACTTTTTCTTTCCTCCCTCTAAAATGTTTTCCATGTCATTAGTGGGTCACGGACGTAGCAGTGGTCCTCGCGCTTTGATAAAAAGCTTCGACGACTGTACTGAAGATGTTTTCCGACACGTGGATTTTATGAAAGCGAAATATCCGAATCGTCCACTATTTTTAATTGGATTTTCAATGGTAAGTGTGTTACATAAGCGTCTCATGCGCCTATATAAAATAAATTTTTCATTACATGCATTTTGTTCAACATCCACAGGAACATTTTAAACAGAAATGGTCATTGTTCATATTTAAAATTTATTAAAATGAGGTAACAAAATGTAATTCTATACCTTGCACAGAGTTGTGCGAAAGCTCTTTTGCTCCTGATGATGACAAAACCTTGTCGAAACGTTGTACATTTGCTGTTACGTTAAACTTATATTAAAGTTTTTTCTTCATTGCCCATTCAAGCCGTCTCCAGCCATTTTTAGAAAGCCCTTTGTGTAGCTTTGTGCTTAACGTCAAACAATAGCCTTCTTTGTTCGTGTCTCATAATTTTTCAGATTACAATTATGAATCAATTTTAAAGAGTCACACTAAAATGAGTTGTAACATTATTTTTTATGGGTTTTTTTACTCTGATTTATACCATCTTTAATATATTGTGTTTTTACCCTTATCTGACTTCCTCTTTTATATTTTTAAACCAATCTTGGCAATTATTAGAAACGGTAAACTTGTAACTCACGGAAAATTGTAGTTATTCAAAGATGATGTCATTTTGAAAGTATATTTAGTTAAAACGATTATATGACCAGATTTAACTATTCTATCAAATGCTTCCAGATTCAATGAAATCTCAGGTGTCCTTATAAAAATATAATTCTTGTAGATTCTTGCTTGCTGTTTCTGACACTTTTAATAATTCCTCTGCTCTCTGTAATATAAGTAAATAGGGATATAACATCTTTAAACGTAGGCCTTCTTTGGCACTTGTTCTTCCACATATTCTGTAGTATTTTTAGTTCCATACCTTAACTGAATAAGACGATTTCAATAATACTTAAATTACAATATTATTCGTTGTTTTCTTAGTGCAAACTACAAATAATGGGCTATCTGCACTCTGTACATCGAGGGAAAATGAACTCCAGATGTTTGCATTATAAGTCCATAGACTTATCATTGACCTACAAGGAACACATTATGAGTCAAATTTTAATTTTTCAATGGTTTTACCAAGTTAAGATATGGCGAAGAAGTTAAGTCTTTTGGATCGTGGCATATCAATCTTTAGATAAAGCAAAAATAAGTATTCTAGTTTAATTTCTACAGTTCAATAATTTAATGCAGAGTTCTTTCTTCTGCAACATTTATAGTATTTTGTTGTTGTTGTTGTTCAGCACGATTGTTTTATTCATTACTCCTTAAAACGAACCTTCCAAATATATGAACTCAGTATGTTTGATACTCATATTCCTTTTGTCATGCAGAACTTAAACCCTTCAAGACATATATTCAATTGACTAATTTTCCTCAAGTAATTTTGTTTTCAAACCTTGTTATCCGATGCTGTGTAACATACATGTATACATTCCAGTTTCAATGAAGTTCAGGTCGATTATTTGTTGACATTTGTGAGTTAAACGTAAAAAAATGCAGAAAAAATGAAAACTCAGAAATTTTATTACCGACAACTGGAACTTAGATGTTAAACTCAATTTGAACTTTTTAAACACTCGCCAAAGCGAAATTCAAAATTACTAATTTGCTCTAAACACGAGTGTTCATCATTTAATGTAAAACATTTGAACTTTGCCAATGACGTTCCTTCGAGTATCCTAAAATATGCAAGTAAGTAAGCTCAAGAGTTTCTTCTTAAAACAGTTCGGCATCAGAAGTCCTTGTTAATTCCTTATCAAAAACTGGAGTTTTATCACACAGTTATCATTACTACTTAAACAAGAGGGAATGCTCAACAGGCATGGCACTTAAAATTCTTTTAGGCAGGATTAGAGTAAGTTAATCTATGAGACCTCTTTTTTCCCTTTTTTATTACCTGTATATTTGTGTGCCAGCAATACCAATCGTGGAGCGTGCGTATATCTGATTCGATTTTATTATTCATCAGGTTCTCTACCAGCAGGAACGTCGAGAGCCAGCACGGGCCCTGGGGCAAACATCCTCGCCGGGCCCCCTTTCTCTCTCTCTTTTTTTTTAACATTTTCAAGAATTTATTAAAAAGAAGATCCTAAATTAGGACAGCAACGAGCTCATAGACCAAACAAAATCATAGCAGCAGCCGTTTTTACCTCACAGTATAAGTGTAAAAACGTTAATAAAGTAACAACAAATATCTATTAAATCTATAAAGTAACAAATAGATATTAATTATTACTCAAATTATTATTTCAGTCGTTCTTAATGTATCAAGCGTCTATATGCAAAGAAAAGCCAAAAACTATGGTTTTTATCATTATATGAAGATATAGCTTTACGGCATAACCAGGCTTCATTCCGCCGGGCACCTGGTCAGTTGCCCCCTTTGCCCCCCCCCCCCCCCATCGGCGGGCCTGTCTACCAATCTACCCTCAAAATGAAATTCTTTAGGCAGGGCTAGAGTAAAATAATCTATAAGACCTTTGGCATGGATAAATATATCATTCGAAAGGGTTTGCCCTCCTCAGTCCATAACTGTAATTAAATCTCAAATCGATCAAGCAATGGCGAAGCTATGAGCTAAAAGTTTGTACTTGAAAATAAACAAAACAAACAAACTCAGAGTCATTCTATGTGTCGCTGTGCCGCGACTGAAAAATGTCCCACAAATGCTACAACCTGAATTAACATCATCACTACATAAAAGAAGAACGTTCAAGGTTTTGTTCATCACATTTGTAAAAATGTTTTGATGAAACAAATCATAATGCCCACATATCTTGTTTGTTTGTAGTTATGCACAAAGTTACACAATGGACTATCTGTGCTCTGCCCACCACGGGTATCGAAACCCAGTTTCTAGCGTTGTAAGTCCGCAGACATACCGCTGAGGGCCCCACATATCTATTATGTAAACTATAACTATATTTAATTATTTATACGTGCTACAACTAAATGTTACGTTATTAAGTTGGGTAAATTACAAATTGATTCCTTTTTCTTTAAGTACCGCTTCTATTGGGAGTTCGCCCCCAATGACACAGCGGTATGTCTGCGGACTTACAACGCTAGAAACCGGGTTTCGATACCCGTGGTGGGCAGAGCACAGATAGCCCTTGTGTAGCTTTGTGCATAATTAAAAACAAACAAACAAACAATCTATTGGGAGTTCATATAAAACTCACACATAATCAAAATAAGTCTACATTAGTGTGTAAATTAACGTACTTTTTTTGGTCGGTTGTTAAACGCCCCCCAGTGGCACAGCGGTATGTCTGCGAACTGACAACGGTAAAAACCGGGTTTCGATACCCGTTTTGATTATTTATATCATAAAATTACATTTCTTTCTAGGGAGGAACAATTGCTATAAAAGCGGGGCTAAAAAGACCTTATGAGTTTAAAGGCATTGTGATTTTGGCAGGAGGTATTTGGTTACAGCCCGCTGACCACAAACCATATAAGGTAAGGTCAATACAGAAATTATGATATAGTTAAATCAATAAATATTAAAATGATTTAGTCAGAAAATGTCCATATAAAATGTGTGTGGAGTGAGTGTTAAGTATGTAAACACATAAACATTTAATTTGAATAATTTCACCTCCGTAAACATTTTTCGTTATTAAAAACTCATCTTTCTATAATTTGTACTTTCAGCGTCATTTAGCCAACTTTTTCGGAAAAATGATCCCAAGTATTCCAGCCAGTAGAATAAGATTAAACAAGGTTTTACGGACGAAAGAAGCATTAAAAAATAGATTGGCAGATCCTTATATGTACAACGGTCCTTGGTTGAAGGTTGGATATGCAAGAGCTTTGCTTAATGCCGTAAAGGTAAAGACTGAATAGTTTATGAAATAGAGCAGATAATTAAAGAAGCAGTCGTTAAAAGAATAGACACGTGTTCATATAAACTGATTAACTATATTATATTTTAATAGGACAGATATTTAGCTTATTTAGGATTAATGTAGTGAGGCTTTGTAATGATAACCACATTTGTAGGAAACTTATCTAGATGAATTCAGTCCAACGAAAAGTGGCTGAATTTGTTAAGTTCTAAAGAAGTGTAACAACTTTTTAAGTAACAAAGGTGAGTGGCTTAACTTGCTTGATGCTAATGAAGTGTGCCTAAGCTTACTCAATGCTCACGACTTATCGTTGAGCTTATTCATTGTCAACATTGTCTTTAAAGCTAGCAGATCTAGAAGGCCCTCCTCATCTAATTCATTCAGTACAACTACAACTAGTACAAGGCTACATAAATTTGTTTTTTGCTTACAAGGTGAATCGGAATTGTTTAAGCAAGTAGCATATCAAGATGATTTTTGGTTTATTAATTTTTTTTATAATGTATATGTATTTATCCTACAAACTTAATTCTTTGTCTAATACACAGGAGCTCGAAAACCAGCTAGAAAATACTGCATTTCCTATGTTAATAATACATGGTGCCCAAGATAAGATTTGTGATGTACGAGGTGCTAAGAAACTTTACGAGTCTACGATCTCTACGGACAAAATGTTGAAGGTATGGAGCTATGGAGTGTTTAATCTGCTTAACTATAGCGAAACGAAAATAAAATGTCACTTTCCATAAATGGGCTTTAAACACTAATTTATTTGAAACTATGTGATTCCATAAATAGCTCAATTTCATATTAGGTTGATTTATTCTCAGTTGAATACTCTTCTTAGGTAACTCGTGAGTAAAACTCACCGAAAACTCATATTGGAGCGAAAGGTTTATTTTAAAATCAGTTTACCAAAGATCAGTTAGAAACTTTCTTTATTACAACATCCCATGGTGAACTACTTGATTAAAAGAATATTGTTTTTGTATTTTCAAAATATATTGTGTATTAATTAAAAGAATGCTCTTTAAATTGTGAGTTTTAAAAGATTTAAAGAGAACAAAAAAAAAAAAGATTAATTAAAGAACCCAGAGGGACAACTGGAACTCTTGATCGGAAAGATAGACCAGTATAATTATGATATTGAATACAGAGAAGGAAAATCTCATGGATATGCCAGCGGACTGAGCTGAAGACCCTGCAAAAATGACTGCAGACATAGCTGCAAAAGAGAGATTGAACTAACAAGGTGCCATCAAGAAGGCCAAAGGGTGCTGAATAGATTGAGTTTTTTATGCCCCCAAACATGAAAGTGATGTGTCACACAGTCAACTGCATTGTCATTAATTTGCAGAGGTAAAATAATCTACTCATGAAACACTGTATTCTGTCCAGAAATCCAATTATACTTGCTGGAACAGTTATCTGTCCAAGCATTGTGCCGTTATTGATTTGTAATTATATAAAGCCAACTACTTAGCTTCTAGCTGGAATGATAATCTACTCATGAAACACGGTATTTTGTCCAGAAATCCAATTATACTTGCTGGAACAGTTATCTATCCAAACATTGTGCCGTTATTGATTTGTGATTATATAAAGCCAACTATTTAGTTTCTAGCTGGAATGTCATTGGCATGGTAACAGAAGTAGAAGTGATGCAGACTCGTTGTTTAATTGGCATCACTGCAACTGGACCACATATGAAGACAAATACATGATTTTCCAAGCATATTTTAGGAAGTTGTTTGAAGATCATGCTCACAACAATTTTATTAACTTCAAATTTATTCCTGTATTTCTCCAAAGGTTTAGTTACTTTTGTGAGAAGTTTAGATGCCTGACTGAGATCTTTATCTCTGTTCTGCAACAACTTACTAAATACATTAACAGTTTCCAATATCTCTAACTGTAAAACCATAAGAACAAATCCATTTTTCCTTTGGTCAAAGGGCTTCTGCTTATTCAACAATGGTTTAAGAATTATCAATATTACAGCATTCACAATATCCACTTACTGAAACGTTCAGGCTAGTAAGCATAATGGTGCAACAGATAGGCCACAGTCTTTTCACTGAAAAGAGTATACTTTTATTTTGAGTTAGTGATGCAAGTTAATAGAGTTACCAACTTCTTATCCTCTACCCAAGAGTGTACAATCTTTCAAGAATATTATAAAAATCACCCATTTGTTCATTTCTACTGCTGCATCATTTTATACTAAATATAAATTAATTGTGAGGTGCACAATGAACAAATTTAGCATTAAGCAATTTTTCCGTGTATTCTTTTCTCTAAACCTATCTATAGGGACATTACTGAACAAATTTAGCATTAAGCAATTTTTCATGTATTCTTTTCTCTAAACCTATCTATAGGGACATTACTCATTTTAACTGCCCCATCATAACACTGATGTCTCTACTTATATATCATTTCTCATTCCTAAGTGGATTTCATTATTTCAGCCTCCAGCCCAGCAACAATTTATTTGGTGTACAAAATACAACACAAGAGAAAAATACTCCTTTATTTTAACCTTAGTCATTCATCCTACAATTTCATCAGCCTGGATGGGAACTTAACAGAAAATTTTGCTTAATTCGTGTTTTTTTGTAATTTACAGAGTTGTATCTATAATGATGAATTTAAACTTAGCCTCTTTAAGTTTGGTTACTATTTCATTAATAATTTTGTAGGTAAAAAGCTCATGTATCTTGGGGCCATATCTTTTATTTTTTAGATTTTCTTTCCTAGTTACAATAAAACAGGATCTCACTTTGGTATTAGTTCTATAGCAGATAAGAAATTATATTTCAAGCACAAATTATACCTAGTATTGAATAAAAATGTAATGTATTAGTTTATTATATTTTTAAGTTTAATATAAATATAGTAGTCTAATATATATTTACTTATTCTAGAAATTGAAATCCACTGATGATATAAAGTTTAATGAGCAATAATCAATATGCTTCCTTTCAGATTTATCCAATATCTTTTCATTGTCTTTTGGATGAACCTGATGGTATACCTGACCAAATTATTGAGGACAGTGTGAGCTGGGTGAATGCCAGGGTACTTTAGTACAACTTACTAACATTATCAGCTGCACATGACAAAAAAGGGCAGCCCAAGATATGACAAGTTTTTTTTATGTGTTATTCTTCATTACTATTTCAAAATAATTATGGGGGAGAAGTGTAAATAACGTACATACATTTGTGATCAATAAACCATACTTTTTATTTCATGTATAATTTTTCACAGATAAATAAGACAATATGTGTATAGTTACTGAATAACTAATGT